TTTCTGCAAAAGAGTTTTGACGATGCGCCCAGCCCAGCTGAGACACAGCTGGAATTCCTAAACAGCAGCAGTTCCATGTGCGAGGACGAAGACTTACTAAGCGGCGCTTGCATTGCCGAAAAGTTAACCGAGAGCAACGCAGGCAGCGGCGAACTTATCGCTGATACTGCCAGCAAGTGCGTTGAGAGCAATGTGGGCGAACTGAAATTTGGTGACTTTAGTGAGGAGACACCTGCACACAGTTCCAGTTTTATATGTAGCTCGACCTGGTCTAGCTCACAGCCCATCGATGTGACCAGCTCGCAGACCACCATGTCCGAGGATAATGTGGATTGTGCACCAAAGGTTAGCACTCAAAAGATTGAGGTGCCCGTCAAGAAGGCATCGCCCATGCATCAGCCAGCCAAAATATCTGGCTCAATTCAGAAGGCCGCGGGCGTCAAAACTCCGACTTCAATCGCCAAGAGCGCCACTATCAGCAAATTCATAAGGTACAACATAGATGAGCTGCGCGAATTATCCAAGCTCAGTGATTCACGCAAGCCGCCGCTGGTGCCCTGTCAGAAGGGCGACTGCATTGCACAGCTTTTTGTTTCGCGACAGTCGCAGCAGCAGCAACAGCATCATCACGCACATAATCCGCATGGCCAGCAGTATCAGCACGCGCACGATTCGATGGATTATGGGTCTGTTAAGCGCGGGCGCGGTCATGGCCATGGGCCGAATAAGAAACATCATGATGGCCATCAACAGATGGGCGGCAATTCGAGTGGCAACAGCTCCGGGCCCGGCGGCATGGGCAGCTCCAATCAGCGGCACATGGATATAATACGTGTGCAGCTGTCGCTCAAAGAGGAGATTAAGCTATCGGAATGCGAGAATGCCTGGCAGCCGGAGACGCTGCGTCGCATGTCCATGTTCAGCACAACGGAACAAGACCCGGATGATGACATGGAAGCGGTGCTGAAGAAAGTACGCGGCATACTCAACAAGCTGACCCCGGACAATTTTGAGGTGCTGCTCAAGGAGATGTCCAGCATTAAGATGGATACCCAGGGCAAAATGACAAATGTGAGAAAGAAATTCTTATTCTAAAATCTATGTTTTAACCAAATTCTGATTGCATCTCTTCTTGCCAACAGGTTATGCTGCTCATATTTGAGAAGACCATCAGTGAGCCGAACTTTGCGCCGACCTATGCGCGATTTTGTAAGGTGCTATTCCACGAGATCAAGGCAGAGAACAAATCGCTGTTCACCAGCTCGCTTATCACGCGTATTCAGCACGAGTTTGAGTCGAATGTGAACGATGCCAATGCCAAGGCCAAGAAATTGCAGCCCACACAGGAGCGCATTAACGCGTGCACGGATGCGGCCAAGAAAGCCGAACTGCGTGCCGAAATGGAGGATCTTGAGTATCAGTTTAGGCGCCGTGCCTGGGGCACTGTGCGATTCATTGGCGAGCTATTCAAGCTGCAGTCGCTGACCAGCGATCGGGTGCTTCACTGCGTCGAATCGTTGCTGGAGCATGGCTGTGAGGAGAAACTGGAGTACATGTGCAAGCTGCTCACAACTGTTGGCCATCTGCTGGAGGCTGGCCCACCAGAGCAGTACCAGAGCGGTGTACGCATCGAGAAGATCTTTCGCCGCATCCAGGATATTGTGCAGCGCTCACGTGGCAACAGCAACAATAGTCGACAGCATCAGTTTAACATCAAGATTAGCAGCCGTGTGCGCTTTATGATGCAGGATGTGCTTGATTTACGCTCGCGTAACTGGGATCAGCCGGTGACAACGCACTCGACCGCTGGCAGTCGTCAGCGTCACAAACAGCACGACGAGCCCAAGGCACAGCCGCAACAACAACAGCAGCAGCAGCACAGCGGACGTGGCGGACACCTGCCACAGCAACAGCAGCAGCAGCAGCAACAACAGTCGAACTACCAGTATCAACAGCAAAAGCAACACCATCATCATCATGGCTACAATGAGAGCAGCAATTACTTTATGCAAAAGGTGCCCAAGGCGCAACAGCATGAGAACCAATCCTTGAGCATAGATCCCAACAAGCTGCGCTTCAGCAGCAGCAACAACGACGACGCAGTGACCGCCAAGCTGGGCAACTCCTCGCACTATCAGTGGCGCAATGCCAGCAATCGTCCGGTCAGTGCAGCACCAACGACACAGCCCAGTTTGCTCAAGCGCATGCCGCCAACAACAAGCTCTTTTAACTATCCGACGTATCAACAGCAAACGGCGCCAGCGGCAGTCGGGCCCCTGGCAGCCAATAGGAATAACAACACGGAGCCCAGTAGCGTCGAGGTGGATTTCGATGGGAAACAGTGTCAAGAGATGCTCACAAAGCTGGTCGAAGAAGTGCTCAGCACCCGAGACTGGCAAAGCGAAGTGCTAGCCATTTGGCGTAATTCAAATGCGAAGCAACAGGCTGCTGTGGCCATCATATACTATGTCCTGATGGATTACGTGCATCGTGCGGAAGTCAAGCGACAACAGCGCTTGGCATGCGCCAATGTCTTTTCGTATCTAATGCAGCAGGAGGCATTCGGCAGAGGGAGCTTTGCTCAGGCGTACGGCCGTTTCGGGGAGGAGTTTCGCGATCTGCTGGTGGATGTGCCCAACGGCTGGACCTATGTCTTTGAGTTTCTCGGACCCATAATGCATGAGGGTGGTCTCGAGTTCAAGGATGTGTGGCAGCAGCGCTGGCTCGAGGACCCACAGTTCACGGAACGCTTTGTACGCGCCTTTGTCAGCTACTTTGTTCAAGAATTCGGCGCCGGATATACACACAAGCTGTGGCATGTGGACAGCAAGCTGGATCGAGGCCAGTTATTTTGGAGCGATGCCCGCAAGTATCGTGACTTTTTGCAATCGAATAGCTTTCAGTTTCTGGAGCCGAACACCACAGGTATAGCTAGTATGCAGCGGCCCAAGATCGCACGCACCCAGGCGGAGCATGTGGAACGAATTAGTTATTTACTGCGTCTGTCCAGTGACACCGCCATTGACTATATCAATACCAATGTGCATATTACTGTGAATTTTGTGCGTCACCTTACCAAATTCCTTTGCTGTGATTTCGCATTAACTGTGATCAGCAATCCATCAGCCAAGAACTACAATAACAACCATAGTACTAACAAGAATAAACTGCAACTGCAGCTGAATGTGGAGAGCTTCCGGAGACATTGTACTCCGCTGCTGCGGCTGTGCATTGATGCGCAGGAGGCGCACGAGATTGCATGCATCGAGGAGACGGTCGATGCGCTGCAGGAACACTTTGCGCTCGAAATGGAGGATGAGATGGCTGCGGGCGAGACCATCTGCAGCACCTGGAGCGTACTGTACGACTGTGAAGTAATATCGCGGGACTCGTTTGATAAGTGGTTCAAGCAGGAATTGGAACATTCTGCCGGATACCCTCGGGCCCTTATGGACAAATTGCGTGCTTTTATCGAGGAAATGTAAAGACAGCTCCCCCACACCCAATGCAGGAACAACTACAACTACAACAAAAACCACAACGAAGCAAATCGCAGGCAAAAAAAAAATATATATATATAAAAACAAAACACATATTTATATGTATATGACAATTGAAACAGCGCCATTTGGCCTTTAAATCATACACCACGCGCGGTCGTATATGCATACACACCTATATATACACCTATATACAAACAGACAGAAACCACTTTTACATTGCAATTGAAACAAACTGAGAAACAAACAAACAGACGACAAACAACGGCAAATATTATAAACTATTGCAATAAAAAATATACAAAAAAACGCATAAATTAAATAACAAAAAAAAAAACTAAAACGAATCTCGGCGTCAAAAAGTATTCTCAAAAATCAAACACAAAGCATAATATATATTTAAATATATATATATATAAGGCAGGGTACATATATATACACACATACACATGTATATTCATATATATATATATATACCAATCTATGAATTTTACTTTTTTACCCCTACAACTGGACAGTATTTCATTTTCCTATGTTTCCTTCAAAATCAAAGTCAAAAGACCCCAAGACGGGGGGCTCTATCAGAATAGTTTAGCAATCTTTTGTTTTACACATAAACAAAGGCAAATTTTGTTTACCTTTCAGTACAAAAAAAAAAAAAATTCTGAATTTGCATTGTTTTTTTTTTCTTATTTTATAATTACTTTTAAAAAATTAATTATTACAAAATTTGATTGATGTGATTTCCTCATGCAAAAAAGGCTCAAACCCAAAAGCAGATAACGTTTATTTCCTTCTAAAGAATCTATGACTATTTTAATTATTTCGAGGCTTAGACTCAAATACATGTATACAAAATTATATAATTACATATATATATATATGTATGTATGTTATACATTAAACAATGTACATTTAGCAAGAAAAGACATGTAAAGTATGTATGTATTTAGTATACAGTGCATGACAAAAACAAAAACAAATAATCCAAAAATACAATTTAAAATTAGCTGTAAAAAGAATGAAAAAATACATAAACTTTAATTTAAACAAAAAAAAAAAATAATAACAAAAACAAAAACAAAACATAGCAATTTAAACCAAATTAAAAACTATATTTATATATTCACAGCATTAAAAAAAGAAAACGAAAAAATAAAAAAAAAAAAAGAAACTAAAAAAAAAAAAAAATTGAAAACAAAAACCAAGAGCTCTAAGCCGCCTTGAATTAGTTATTTTTATAAGTATACAAAAAAAAAAGAGAGGAAAACGAAATTAATTTCAAAAATTAATATTTCAATAGTAAAAGATTTTCACAGCTCGAATGTTTTTTTTTTTTTTTTTTTTTTTGTAACATTATTTTTGGTTTTATTTAAACACTGAAAGTGGCAAAGATTGAAAATGGTTTTGCGGCAAAATGCAAGAAATAAAATATAAAGTAAATCAATATATAAAAAAATATATATATATATATAAAAAGTGGTAAGGATATAAATTATTTAGCATGAAATACAAAAAAAGAATGTAAACAAAAATAAAATATTAGTTAAGCAATTGTCGAAAAAAAACGCTTCTGCACTGAAAAGCGAATAGTTTAAAGCCAAGCTAAGTAAATTCTGATAACTTCTAGCATTCTTTGCATGCATTTGAAATGTGTAGCCAAATTCTGGGATAATTTGAAACAAAACAAAAACAATTTTAACTGTAAGCATTTTTGGCAAGGAAGCAAATAATAATAAATAATAAAATTTAATTCTAAAAAATAAAAAACAAATCTCAAAACACATTTAAAAGACATAAAGCAAGAATCTGAAACAGGCGCATTCAAAAACCACATAAAGCTGATTAATGGGGCGGTATGAAAACTGATTAACAATTATAAACAGCAAATAATAATAATAATAATAATAAAAGAAGAAAAGAAAAAAAAAACAAGCAAAACAAAAAAAAATAAAACCGCAAGGCGTTTCAATGGGGCCAGCCAAAGGACATCCAACTCATGCAAACACACACACGCACACATCTCGCTCATGAATTCATACACACACATAACACACACTCATACGCAGGCAATTCATGGTGTTGGCAGCATTTAAGTTTCATATCGCATATAGCATAAGAGGTTTAGCATAATGCTTTAAGGCTTGAAGCGCATACAAACGTAAGCAGATTTAATATGTATTTATATATATATGTATTGCAACAACTGATCTTATTCCTTATCTTCTCTTTCCGCTCGCTCAGATAACAAGCGCGCAGCATGGAACGACGTGGACGAATTCCGGTGGCCAAGTTTCGCACCCAGGAGGCTAAGACGCGCAGTCGCAGTCGTGTGAGCGAGCCGGACTACAATAATCAGGACCCGGAGCATGATATGTTTACGCTGCTGGAGGACAACATAGCGCTAAGGGAGGAGAACAAGGCGCTAAAACTGGAGATCGAATCACGTAAGCTAGCCCAGCCCATTTAATGATATATGTGTTCGTGCTCTGAACGTCCAAGTCTCCGCGCAGATAAAACCACGCAGGAGGAGCAGCAGGCGCAGCACGAGAAGCTGTGCGCTCAGCTGGAGCTGCTGCAGCAGCAGCAGAGCAAATTTGAGTCAGACATCAAGGATCTCACCGGCAAGTTCAATAAAACGCTCAACGAGCGCAATGCCCTCGACAAACTGCACAAAATGAAGGTCGATCAGATACACAAGTAAGCTAAATCATAAAAGCGCAATAAACAGCATTAAACATTTGTCCACCTTGCAGTCTCACCAGTGAGCTGGAGCACATGCGCGAGAAGCAGCTGGGACCGTCGAGCGGGGCTCCGCTAGTCGGCTCCGTAGAGCTAAAACGTAATCTGCTCAAGATTCTACAACAGGACAGCACAGACAGCGGCGAGGTTGGCAACGAGCTGGACAGCCTGATCGATGTTGATGGCAATCTGGATGTGCCCATTACCAACAGCCTAGTGGAGCGTCTCGTCTCGGAATTCCTCACGCTCAAACATGCCACCAACGCCGTGGAGCTGCAGCTGTACGAGGCCAATGAGAAAATAGCCGAGCTAGTCGAGCACGTAAGTTGATGTCCACGCTCTCGTTAAATCAAGCTAACGCTCTGCTTCTTATTGTAGCAACATTTGCTGGAGGAGGAGAACGAAACGCTGCGCACCGAGAACGGCAATCTAACCAAGGTGGCCAAACTGTTGACCGACAACATGAAGGAAAGCGTGGAGACCAGCCAGAAGTAAGCGAAGATTACATTGGCATATTCAAATTGCAGCAAACCCAAAGAAAGGATTTTAATTCAGGCAAAATTCGGAATGAGACATTTCATTTTTGAGTTCATAAAAAGCACACAACTAGTCTCCCAGTTTCAAAGGCATCGGCATGGAGCTTTGCATAGGTCCTGTCTTTGTGTTGCACGCCATATAAGCCGGATCGGACTAGTGATACGGAGTATCATATAGATGCCATAGGAATGATTTGAAATATGACTTTCTTTGCAAGATATTTAGGCAAAACTCTCTTGGCATTTAAGAACCGAAATCTGTGAGCGCGAAGAAAAACCAAAAAAAATTTCGAACTAAATTTTTTTGGGGTAGAACCCACCCAAAAGTTTAACTGACATCTTCGCAAATGATTGCATTCATCTAAACGTGCTTGGTAGACACAAATTAAAATGATTATGGAAATATTTAAGGCTATAAATTTAAGCGAAAATTGCCGCAGTACAATTTTATAAATATAAAACAAACCAGATTGTGAACCGAAAACTGGCAACAAAGCAAGATAAATCCATGTAGTTGGTTTGTACTGCGAACCGAATCACAAATAGTCTTTATGGCTTGCAGACCTGCTTTATTATATGACTTCCTGAACGGAAAGAAATCGATATGGGGTATTTTAATCTTTAGCCTTTATGTTTATCAACTTTGCTCAAGTAATGCCTTCTAGAGTTAACTAAATAATTGCAATATGTTAATTGCAGAATGGAGGCGGCTTTGATAAGGCTGAAGCAGCGGAACGATGAGCTGACCGCCAAAATACGCGACCAGCCGGACGGCCAGCCGCAGGCGACGCCATCGCCGACGACGATGCAATCGCAGGTGGAGTTCGAGGAGATAACGGATCAGGTGCAGCACCAGGCGCGCGAGCACAACGAGCGCATTGTGGAAATGGTGAGCCAAGGGTTATATGGTTACACTTTATATATTTGGTGTCGGTTTACCTATCCTATTTATCTATCCCATTTGTATTTCCGTCTCAAAGCAAACACGCAGCGTGTTTGACATATTCAAGCCGTTTTCGAGTATATTTAAGAGCAACTAAACGGCGGCAAATGGTGCACAATTAAAAAGGCCACTTAATAATAATAAGAAATAGATATGCATGGAATGTGTCCAGACGGGTTTTAGTTGTATCCTTTCTCACACATTTTCGGTGCTGGAATCCGAGCAACACGTAAGCGCAGCTCGCTTGCCGTTCGCTTCTCTCCCTTTCTTTGCTGCTGCTTATATTAAAATAAATCTCTATACACTTTGTATTGCTTTCTGCACTAACTCGCATCGAAGGCGTTTTAACTAATGTTTGTTCTACTAATTTTCGTTACCTTTGACCCCGCTCCGCCGCCAACCCCCCCGCTCGCTCGCTCTTGTTGTTTACGTAGCAAAGTCTTATGGATGCGGCTATTGCAAAAACTACTAACGATGAACTAAAAAAATTACAACTTAAGTTGGAAATACTCGAGGAGCAGCTGCGTCAGGCGCTAACACGCGCCGATCTCGCCGAGGAGCAATTGGTGCGCTACCAGCAAGCGGAACCAGCTGCAACAGCAACAGCAACAGTTGCAGCGGCGCCAGCGTCACGTCCACCCCCGCCGCCGCCGCCGCCGCCACCTCCACCCATGCCTGCCAAGGTGCTTTACAGGGTTGCAGCTGGCGGGGATGGAGACGCGGGCAGCTTTAGCCAGCACATTGCTGCGCACAGTTTGCACAAGGGCCTGGGCGAGAAGATAATCGACAACGTCAAGCAACAGGTACAGGCGCAGGCGGCAACAGGTATGTCATCCAGCTATTAAAATTCCCACAAGCCATTGGCCCATGGACAGGACATGCTCCAAGAAGCACTTTCGCTTCACATTTTTGTCTACTTTTTTTTTTTTGACTGGAATTTGTCGTGTCGTAAAACCTTTTGCGTGCCTTTCTCTATTGATGGGCCCGCCTCCAATCGTACGTGTGCGTGGCCATACTGGGCGTATGCGCAATCTGCCAGCCATTGCACATATCACGTATACGCATTTACTTGCGCGTGTGTGTGTGTGTGAATTCTAGGCAATTTCGTAACAAGATTGAAATTTTATGAAGTTTCCGCTCTGCACGCGGCATAGTTCAATTTTAGTTGAGCAACAAATTGTGATTAAACTATTTGCAATATTTAAGCAGCAAAGTAAAACAAAATTTAAGACTACATGTTGCGCCTGAAAAGCCATGGACTTAATGTTCAATGTTGCAATAAGCTAGGCAATTCTGATCAGATAATCATTTTTTTGCCTGGGCAATATTTAAGCTGCTGCAAACTAGTTTTGAATCGAGCCTTAACCTCTAATCTCTTAAGAAGCGGTCCCCAATTGGAATAAGTCAGAAGAGATGACCCATTCTGTGCTGGCGTTGCACAAAAGTTGTCTGCTGCTGCTAATTGTTAATCTTAGATATAAAGAGCAGGAGTTGTCAAGAGAGCTATCCGGCAGGAAGACGTGGACTCCTATGCGAATCGCATGGAAACAGAGAGGCGGATAAATAGACATGGGGTAGATGGATCAAGATTATATATACTTAGTATATTATACAATTTCCTTTCCCAATGGGTACATGAACCGATAAAGAGACTTTATATCAATTAATCTTGAATTATTCCATCCCAACCGTAAGCATAAAATTTATTGCCTTGGCATCAATAAACCCAGAGAATAGTTTATAATGTCTTTCTTTCGATAAAGAATTCTTAAACTGCTTTTGCAGCAAAAAGCTAAAAAAAAAACTGGGAACGATGCAAATGCCATAAACCACAAAAGCATACAAAAAAAATGACTGTGGTGTAATCGATAGGCTGTCGGAGGCTGCCTCTAATCCTTGGGCGCAGTCGACTCCTTTGTCTGTTCTCGACTTGTTGCTGTCACTTGTCAGTTGCGCTCCACGCGATCCGACGTCCGTCCCCTCCACCGCCTCCGCCAACAACCCATTTGCGTTTATAATTGATTTTGTGCGTTTTTCTTTTCTTTTTTTTTTCTACTGCTGTTGCTGCTGTTTTTGTTTTTGATTTTTCCTAAACGTTGCCACGTCCGCCACGGCTACGGCTACGGCTACGTTGCAGGCTGCCATGCCACGCCCCTTTTGGTGCTGGGGCTTGTTGCAACAGCGGCAACTTCTTAATTAAGTTTGCCAGAAGCTTTTTGACGCAGCGCTCAGACTAGCTGCTGCCACCAGGTACACACACACACACGTGGATAATATATATATGTATATAAATTTATGTGTATATATATATAATATCCGTGTGTAGAGGCGTAGCCCGGCAGTAAAAATCTAATTAGCGTCGGCTTTACGCTTCTGAAAAAGGGGAGGTTGGGTTGGGGGGGCTGAATTTCGTTTTAGCCTTGATATATTTTGCAATCAATATGAAACCAACATACTTTATTACAAGGTGTGTGTGTGTGTGTGTGTGTGTGTGTGTGTGTGTGTGTGTGTACGTGCTGGCATTGTATATGTATTTGTATTTGTTGCTGCCTTGCCATTGCACTTGTGGGACATCTTTGGCGTTTAATTTCCGCTTTAATTGCGCTTTAACAATCGTTTGTTATTGATTTAAGTTTGAGCTTTAGCCTCTGTGAACTGCCAGCCTCCGATTGGCCCCAACCAAATGTGAGTAGAACTTATTTCTGGTTCGATTCACGGCACAAAACAACTACCAGCCCCTCGTGAAGCTGGTTTTTGACAATATTTCACAACATTTTAAAAAATTTCAATTTGTAATCGAACGTTTTTCGAAAAATAAGTATAACAAGATGCGGGCTACATTTTATACTCAAGCCAAAATTTGTATCTATCAAGCTGGGAAAAAGGCAAGGGTTTATTTGTAGTTTAATACTGACACCCATTTTTGTTATATTTTGAATTTTTTGAATATATATATTTTTAAAAAAATATTTATGATTCGGTTCGCACGTTATTGAAGTGCATTGGAAAACTAATGAATGCTAAGTTTGTTAACAAAGAAGTTTGTTCATACAAAAACTTATATATGTTCACACGATTTCAAATATATATATATAGGAGGAGGAATAGTGTCAAGATATCTTAATAATACAAAAATTTTGTTCATACAATAACCTACTCTTTGGCGCTTGTTCCTATGACAACTAAATGAAGTAGTTGCCCGATCCGGACAGTTCCAATATAACTTTAAGACTAGTTTCCATATAAACAAACAGACGGACATATTGACTCAACTCTTTAAACTTGAATATATCAAATTTATGGACTCGGAGATGTCTCCTACGCGTTCAACATTTCATGGCAAAATTATAATAATATAAATATCCTGTAAGTTCCTTAAAAGCAAGGACAAACACTGAACTATTCAATCTATGCAATTTTGCGTTTCCTTTGAGATCGTTTTACGCTTATAACAAAATTGCAAATTCTTGCAATAAGAATATATTTTGCTTTATTCAAGCTGTTTTTTTCTGGTTTTTGTCAAGTTAATGAACCAATTTAATTCAGAATATTTAAATATTATCTGAAGTATCAATTAAGAATACTTTGCATTTTATGAAATTATTAAAAAAAATATATTCGAATTTTAACGTTTCCCTGGCACATTTAAGGTGCATTATGAGAATTTATATAATTTTGTATCAATTTCTGTAATTTTTATTGGCCTTATGCCCGAAATCAGGTTTCAGGTGACGTGCGCCAACCACAACATGCAAACGCACAAACCATGTCAACAGCACGACAATGAAATCAACTGGTTGTAGGATGGGCTCTACGCACACACACACACACAGAGACACACACACACGTATAGAAAACATAATACAGCCAAACAGCATGGCGATGGATATGTGCAAATGTCTGGCAGTGAGAGGCTGTCTATGCATGTGTGCGTGTGCGTGTGAGTCTGTCTCTGTGCGTGCGTTGCCAGACTGTAAAGTGATATTTGCGTATATCATATTAAAAATACTTTTAGCCAATAGGCATTTATAAATATGAGGTATCGAGCCCATCTAAATGTTGACATTTTACTTACTATATATGTATCTAAATTAGATTCAGTCCACGGCTCAAATTCTGAATACTTTATTCAATTAGACACTTTGTCACTCACTAGTTAATAAAAGCAGTAAGCTTTTCTTTTTTTTTTTTGTAATCCTTGCATGCCGTTGGTTATTGCTGATTTATGGTAAAGCCAGCGGAAATATGATAACATCCACACATAAGTCTTCTCGAGAGCCTTACGAGCTGCCACACCGGAGCCGTGCAATCAAAGCAACTGAAGCTTATGCCAATCACAACAATGGCAACACCTCTTCCTCTCTCTCTCTCTCTCTCTCTCTATTTATATATATATATACGTTTACATATGTGTGTGTACCTGGGCACACTGACTGACTGACTTACGCGCTCACTCAATTACAAGAAGCTGCCGCACGCACTGTCACACTGTAGCACTAAGCACATCCGGTTTCCGGTTGTTGGCGCGCGTCCCAAGCGTCGCACGCGGCGTACGCGTAACGAGCGCACATTGAAATCAATCAGGACGCGTATTGTGCGCGACGCGAGCTATTAACAGACAGCAATCTTATATATGGCATGTGCCACAGACTCTATTCAATACAAATGCCGTGCGATGGGAACGAAGCGCGCGCGCCCCACTTGAAGCACATGAAGCGTTTGAGCTGCCAGCCCAACGAGCAGCAAGTTTACAGCTAGCCACAGAGCTGCTGCTGGCATTCGTGTCCTGGCGCTCGTCCTCGTCAAAAGCAGCAGTAGAGCAGCAGCAGCAGCAGCAGCAGCAGCAGCAACAGCAACAGCGGCAGCGGCAGCAGTCCTCGTACTCGGCTCGAAAACAAATGAAACGAAATATTGTTGTCGCCTGCCGCTTGCCAGCGAAGCCCAACCTGTAGTTGTGTGTATCCAGCATCATTTTGCGTTGATTACCATGGCAATGTTTATGCTTGAAATTCGGACCATTATTGCATTATCTATATTCAAGCAGGTCGCACTTGGATCAATTTCCGCCAGTGTAAATTAATTGACTTTGAAAAAGGCTCCTCACGACCAACATATACATATATACCCTGTCATTTCCGATCCCAAACGATACACAACACGCATCATGCATGTGTGTATTATGCCGAGCACTTGAATTGATTTAAAGTTTGTGCCCAGCCACAGAAGTTGCCGGAGAGCTCTCCACCTGCAAGCTATTAGCTGGCTTCCGGGGCCGAGCTCTCGAGGCTGTGGCTACTGCCCTGGCAACAGTCGCACCGAGAGGAAGAGTGAGCTGGAGGGAGGGGGGGGCGCTGGCATTGTTGCTGTCGTCTATGCGACAGCTTTGGCTTTAAACAGCCATTCAGGCGTTTACATGTTTCACTCGCAGCTTACTGCGCTTTATGTTACCCAACGCACGGTGGCGGCGGCGGCGGCGGCGGCCGCCAACGTATCAGGTTCGATGAAGGCAAGGACTATGCCATTTATTATTTTTACGAGTAGACCAAACAACAGACCAAATGGCCCGGCCCAGCCCCAGAGCCAGACCCAGCCACCTTCAAGACACATTGTTGTTTCCGTTGTTGTCATACTATGGCTTATTATTATTATTATTTGTGCGTTTTATATTTCCGTGTTTTATTGCGCCACTTTTCTTATGAACAGACACACACACACGCACACGCACAAACACCACATACCCAAAGATTGACTTTGTTTGGGTACAACAAGTCGTATACGCAACTTCATTTGTTGCCGCTGACAGTTGTTGAATGCGTGGGCTTAGTTCATACTCCTTTTCCTTATTGTTGTTGTTATTGTTTTTGTTGCCTTTACTGTGGCAGACATCCGTGATTTATGTAGCCCAAAATCCTCAATTTAAAATCCTTGGCTGCCTTGATTATGTCGCGTGCCAGCTGCCTTAAAGGTAGGTTCTTTCTTGTCATTTGGGCAAAGGTTATTATCATTCCTATAAGCTAACCGCATGCTGTTTAAGCTCTTTTGAATATAATCAAAATAATATATATATATACTAATATTCTGTTTATCTTTCAGGTCTTGACGCTATAGTGCGTGAATTTAAATCTGGACGCGTCACGTTGCGTCGGAATCGTCGCAAAACTGGCACCAGCGAAGCTCTCAAGGAGATGTTCCAAGTACTCGAGATAAGTCAGAAGCAGAATCGCAACTCGAAGATATGCGTCGATCTGAATACAACAATATAAGTTTCTTATCCTACTTTGGTCTCAAATCGAAAGCCTATGCTCTCTGCTTCAACATCGAAACATTCCGTGCATTTTAATATTTATACGTAATCCCTCCTATTTAATACACTAATTTTGCCTTTGTGTGCGCCTTTCTTTTGAAGGAGAAAACAAGCCATTTTTAAACTAATTTATATAATATCCCTATGTGAAATTAACTAACATGTATTTGATTTTGACTTCTAACAATGTGTTCATGTTACTCATTAATATTATTATTTATGCTTTATTATACAATCGAAACCCAACGAAATATTTTGAATAAACTTTATAACCAAATATATAAACTTAATTATTATTCAATTTGATTTATGTGGGGGTGTATTTGAATCCTGTAAAACATATCCTGCGATACGTATTGCATTATGACATAAATATAGATGGATAATACGTTTATCAGGCTTAACTGTATTTTATTATTACTTAATCTTTGGCCGATGCACAGATCGCAAATTACATAAAATTACACAAAGCTTCCCTATGTATATATATATTAGTATATATGTGTAAATCGTGTAACAATCATTAAAAAGTTATTTGTTCAGTTTAAAAGTAGACGAGCTAAATTACACATTAAAATTTGAGTTTATGGCTAATTGGTGTACAATAAAAATAGTTTTAGCTTATCATTTTAAAAAATTTGGCTAATTGCTTACAAAGTTTTCAAAGGTTTTGTATTGCATGCACTGTAATTGACTTGATTGAGTTTGTGCTTCAAATTGAATAAAGTTCCTGTTATAGATTGTGGCACTTGTTTGCATAAGATACGTACAAAGTTGTTGAATTGTGATTAGAAGAGCTTAAGCTACTAAGCTTTAGATAACATTATTATATCGTTAATCAAAGTACAAAACTTGTGGAAGACAAGTAGTTTGCGTATTTTTACGTATTGCGTTTTGTTCGAAAACAAATTCAAAGCGAACAGCGACTGCTTTGATATATAATAAACTATCAACATAGAACAAAATGATGACATGTTCAACATAATATCATTTCAACATAATTAAACATTTAACATATATCATAAAACTTATTTAGGTTCTAAAAACATTTCACTTAAATCTAGTGCGATCGCTTGTTTAGACACTATTTGGTAGTCGGTCATGTGAGGCAAATGTTGTGTGTTGATCATGCTCGATTGTTGCTCGTTTCTTTCGGGGATTAGTGCTATATAAAGATATAAGCTATATGTATGTAGTAACAGGAATATTTGGCACTCGATGCTTGCTCGTTGACAACGTTTCATTTTCATGTTATATATGGCGCAGCACTGGAAGCAGCAGTTACATCTGCTGTTCGTTCGTTCGTTCATGGAATGTGTTTACTGTGCCGCGATGGCTTTGGCGGCGGAGTCGGAGGGCGCGGCTTGCTGGCATCTTGTATGCCCGGCATGCTGAAATTTGTGGCCTCCAAATACTCGTACGTTGTGTTTGTAATACTGGTCTTTGTCATGGTTGTCGTGCTAATGCTGCCGCTGGTGCTGCTGTTGCTGCTCAGCACATTTAACATTGTATAGCCATTGGGATTCCAGTCGAGACTGTGCGTCAAACTGCTAAAATCGGTGGAGTCGCGCGTCTTGGCGGGCAAAGGCGGTGGTCGTATGTCCTCCTCCGACGTGGAATCGGTCGTTTCTGTCATATTCAAAAGAAAATGTTTACCAATTTCACGAGCTAATCTCTCTTGATGCTTACCAACTGAGTTGCGATTGCTGCTCTCGGATAGGGAGCGTGTGTCCGCAAAGTTTTTAATGCTAGCCGTGGGCGTGGCAATGCTGGCTGGCCGCGAGAGGCGACGTTCTTTTTCCTTTTCGGAGCGCAGCGGCCGTTTGGGTGTCAGCTGTTTGGATAAAGCAGGGGCAAATTAGTGGGGGTTCAAGCTGAAACGGAGCACTTTTATGTGTGACTGACCTCTTCGGTTAATACGCGTGGATCGGGCGTTTTGGGTCCACTTAGAGAGCTATTCGAAGCACTGGCCAACGAATTGACAGAGGTGTTAATCTCCTTTTCGGGCGTTGACGTTATGGTGGTCAGTGGCGGCGTATACCACTGACAATTGGCCACCGGCAAGCTCAATGTTTCGCGATCCTTTAAAGACAAGTTGTTAATAAAGTGCAAGGTTTTTCGTACAACTGAGTTTGAATACCTTCTTCATGGAGCGCCGTTTGGCGGGCGTCTTGTCCTTGTGCTTGTTGCCTTTCGTGCTGGGTGAGTGGCCCAGGCTAGGTCTATGTGAGCGTAGACAATAAGCAACAAATTTCAAGTAAACAAAAGTAAAACAAAAAACAATAATAAAACACATGCAACAAATCAAACAAAACCAATGGAAAACAACTTAAAGTCTCAAACTAAAAACAGCGAGCAGCGATAAAAGTGTTAAAAAGAATTGGATATTGGGTTTTTTTTTTAGTTAGAGAAGGGTTTTTTTTTTAATTAAATGATTAATTACAGCTTACCTAGTGTTAAAGCTCAAGCTGGCCAGCGTGGACTTGATGGAACTGGTTGGCGGTCGCGGCAGAAATGTTGACTTCGATAATCCGCTGCTGCAATTGGAGCGGATTTTAGAATTACCATTTACTATATGTGACTTGAACTATTCGGGACTTACTCAGAGGAGCCCATGCTGGTCTCGGACAATCGATTGTTGCTGGCATCAAAGATCGCGGGCAGGAAAGAGTTGGTGCGTCGCATGATAACCGAATCCCGTTCGATTTTCAAATCGCACGATTTGCGTCCATAGCGCGATTCTACGTGCTGCTGCATGTCCGCAAAGCAGCCCTCCAAATGATCCTGCAGCGCCTTCAGGCTATCCGGCGCCTTCTGGCGATGCAGTCGAATGGCTACAGATGCGGATTAAATATGATTAGAAGCATGAAAATTAAAGAAAGAAAATCCCGATGAAACGAACCACATTGCAGTAGTGGGATTTGCAGGGCAATCAATTCCTTGAGCTCCTCGACAAGCTCCTTGTCATCGGGATGCTGCTCCAGATACTCGTCGGTAAGGAATGCCTCCTCATATTTGGCAAAGCCGCCCATAACGGCGGGATCCACAATGCCGTTGAGCTTCATGCTGAGCGGATTTATGTGCAGACTCTCATCGCTCTGATGCAGTATGACCAATTGTCGGATATCCTTGTTGGTGTCTTTCATGATCTCCACGGCTCGCTCCAGTGGTGAAATTTTAAACGTATGCGAATCGACTACGGGAAACCAGCGCAATATGCCAGGCAGTGGGAATTGCGTAACGAGCTCGGTACGCTCCAGCCAAAGGTTACGCACATCGTCCATGGTGCCGCCGCCGGTGCTGTCGCGGAAGGGGCGCGAGAATTGAAACTTGTGCACATTGTTGGAGGTGAAATACTTGACAATCTCATTGGAGATGATCTTCTCATTGAACTTGGCGAAGGCAGCGTCCATAATGGGCTCCACTTTGTTCACCTGTATGTATTGGCCATCGCTGTTCGTTATATCCTCGCCAGGCGCCTCCAGCGTTTGCATAAGCTCTGCCTGTGGATGCTGGACAAGCATGCGTGAGCAGAAGTCGCTGTGGCGCTCATACTCCTTGCCCCGAAAAATGTAGACTCTGTTCTGTAGCAGTCGTGGAAAGCCGCGTCCATAAAAGCACACGCGAAAGTACTCGGATGTGTGGCGCAGCTCCTTGAGTATCTTTTCAAAGAACTGGGCCATGCGCTTCAGCAACTCCGCCAGCTTGATGTAATCATAGATTTCCTCCTCGTACTGCTGGGCGAGCACCTTGCACATATCAATCGCGCACTCCCACTGCTTGCCCTTGTCAAAGTAGTCCATGATCTCAAAGTAGAGGGCTTCCTTTAGCTCGCGATGGGTGCGGCAGCTGCCATGGCGATAACTGCGCAGCTGGGGAGACAATTCCGTATCGTTCCAGCGCAGCAGTTCCGTGTGCAGCTTGAGGGTAAACGCCGCCTCCGTATAGTTCTCAAACTCCATGTGCAGGGCGCACAGTTTGTAAACGTAGCGTATGTACATCTCCTTGAGATCCACTTCCGAGTAGAACTGCAGCAACGAGAATGTGCACGCCATGCGGTTCTCCTTACTCTCGTCCTGGATAATGAAACGATACTCGAGCAGTTTGTCCATCAGCCTTGTCACCATATTCACAAAACTGGTGCCGTCCACATTGAGCGTGTTGTGCGCGGCACAGTACTCCAGCATGATCTTCTTGAACAGCTCCTTGTACTCGGCATCGCCCTTGCCTGACGGGAAAAGAGAAAACAATTAATAACTAGCCGAGGAATGGCTGTAAGCAGAGCACTTACCGGCGCCAATCAGAATGTCCAGCTTCTCGATCATGGCCGTCTTGAACTCGGAAAAGTTGCCCTTGTGGTGGGAATTGTTGTGCTTGGTGTCGCCGTAGCTCTCCACCTCCAGACGCGAGCTATAATATTCGCACTGCATCATGTCAAAGAAAATGGGTATCGTCTCGCGGCGCAGCTCCGTTTCCGGTATCATGCTCATCTCCAGTATGGGCTCAACCAGCTGCGGCACAAACTTGGGCTTGTGCTTGCCCAGCTGGAACCACATCTTGCGTATCTCCTTGGCCGTATCCTTGCGTATGTCCCGATACCGGGCAAAGACTATCTGCCGTTTATTGTCATTAAAGTCGTTCAGCTGCAGCGGTGACTGCACCAGGAACGCAATCGAGCACTGAAAGAAATTCGACCAGATCTGTTTGTCGAACACCGGGCACAGGAAATAGTCCGTGATGACCATGCTGAGCTGCTGCAGAGCGCCGAGTATAACCGTATTCTGGTGCATGATCATGTCCATCCAGTCGCGCGGAAATACCGCCTTCTGATGCGGCGACACGAGCTCCTCGAAGACGAGCAGAATCTCGATGACAAAGTCCTTCAGCTCGCCGTGCTGGTGCAGATCGTTGACGAAATACTTGTAATGCTGGGCATCCATCCGCTGCAATATGCCCAGCATGATGGCAAAGAATTGACCGACGACGCCAGTATCCCGATCCAGTGAATGCGCCGCCTTCATGACCGGGCGCAGCAATATGATCATTACGTCGCGCACATCGTTATGCGTGGGTCCCACGTCCGGGCGATAGAGCAGCTTCAGGATGTTGTTCATTATGTTGATGCACTCGGCGATCTAGCGACAAAAGTTAACAGATTAGTTTGGAATTTCTTCATGGATTGAGAAATCAAAACATATCCTACAAATAATCAAAACAATTCAAAACGCGAACTCACGAGAGCTGTTGA